TTCCCCTGTAGTGAAAATGACCACAGTCAGGGCCTTATTAATCACATCAGTTAAACAAGGGTGGACTATGTATCAGCTGGACATAAATAATGCCTTCCTTCATGGTGATCTACATGAGGAAGTGTACATAGACGTACCACCTGGACTTGCAGTCCAGTCTCCTAATTTGGTATGCAGGTTGAACAAGTCCCTTTATGGACTCAAGCAGACTAATAGGCAATGGTATGCTAAGCTCACTGAAGCTTTATGTTCTAGGGGATATACTCACTCTATGTATGACTATTCTCTCTTCTATAAGAAGAAAGCAAATTCAGCAGTTTATGTGGCTGTGTATGTTGATGATATAGTTCTTACAGGTACTGATGTTGATGAGATAGCAGATCTGAAAGTTTATCTAAACAACAAATTCAAATTAAGGATTTGGGATTACTTCACTATTTTTTGGGAATGGAGGTACTTCACACAGATCAGGGAATTATTGTCTCACAAAGAAAATTTGTGCTTGACTTACTAAAGGAGTATGATTGTTTGCATCTGAGCTCCTTATCTTCCCCTCTTGATCCCAATACCAAGCTGAGAGCTAAGGAAGGTCCAGTTCTAAGTGATAGTACTTACTATAGAAAGTTAGTTGGAAAACTTAACTTCCTTACAAACACAATGTTGGATATTGCTTTTAGTGTTCAACACTTAAGCCAGTTCATGCAGGACCCTAGAGAGCCACACTTGCAGGCTGTTTTTCACCTCCTTCGATACTTGAAGTCTGATCCTACATTGGGTTTGTTTTTGTCCAAAGATGCAGATTTTTCTATGAAAGGCTATTGTGATTCAGATTGGGCCTCATGTCCAGATTCTAGGAAGTCTGTGAGTGGATTTATAGTATTGCTTGGGGCAGTCCAATAAGATGGAAGTCAAAGAAGCAAGAAACCATCTCTCTATCATCAGCAGAGGCTGAATACAGATCACTCAGGAAAGTAGTAGGTGAATTGGTTTGGCTAAGTCGACTACTTACTGAGTTGGGTGTTCCTATCCAAAGCCTATTTCAGTTTTTGTGATAGTCAGTCTGCACTACACATTGCCTAGAATCCTGTTTTTCACGAAAGGACCAAACACATCGAGGTAGACTGTCACTTTGTGAGACATGTCTTACAACAAGGACTTATCTCATTGTATCATATTGCTACACAAGACCAGTTGGCTGACATATTGACCAAAGCCTTAACCGGAATCAAGCACTCTTCTATCCTTGACAAGTTGGCAGTGTTATCTTCACCTCCAACTTGAGGGGGGTATTAAGTATTATATTGCACAGCTCACGTATTTCATTGTACAGCTCACATAGTTAGTTATAGAATTGGTTAGAGAGTTAGTTAGCTCATGTATTCAATGTGTATAGTTAGTTAGCTCAAAGTGTAATAGTCTAGAAACTTCCAGCTGATGTGTATATATATATACTTCACTGATGAAATAGAATCATTCAAGCTTTGCATTCTACAAGTTATCTTTTCTACTCTTCTTCTTTACTGATTGTAGTCAAGGCTTCCATTGTTGATAGTTATACTTTTTATAAAAATGGATACTATTAGATCGATTCAATCAAATATGTATAATAAATACCTAATTTGATAGAAAAATCATGCATCCACGTGTACGTTATTGTTGACACTAAATCAGCCTATGAGTAGCAACAACAAACAAGAAGAAACAGAAAAAAAAATAAGTAACAGGTAATAAAATTGAAAAATATATAATAATAGGGGGAGGAAGACACAAGATAATGCTCGATGATAAACAACTTTTAAAAAAAAAAACTTAAAAAAGAGAATTTGACCCGTCTTTAATAGTAGACCATATATCATAAAGTAATGTCATACAACTTATGTTTGCACAATGGAAAAAAAGCATAAGATTATGAAAATTAAACTCCTCCTGAGGGACCTAGGTATATATATACACTCATTTCAAATCACTCACGTCCATTTTTTCCTTTAATTAAAAATTAAATTCTTGTTTAGAAATATGGCTTTTTCAAAAGGATTTCCCTAATATAATTAGGGGACAGCGCTAAACATTAAAGGACGAAAGTTATAAAAAGGAAATTACTTATATAAAGATAAGAACATGAGTGAAGCAATTAAATATACACCACAAACATGTTGACACGGCAATTAAAGTAAAGTGTATTAACTATTTAAATTTAGTTTCAAGTTGGTAAATTCATTTTTTAAAACAGAAATTATTGTCGTATGGTGGCATGGTTTTTATATTAACAAATTAATTAAAAATTACAAAGCTAGGGGTGCATAGTGTCATGACCTGCCACTTTGCGCTTCAAATTTGGCATAAAAATAAAAAATGAAGAATCTAGAGCTATGAAAAGGTTAGTGGAAGACTCTAGAATTCCTTAGATGTTTCTGTTGAATACTTTAGAATGCCTTAGAAAATATCTTAGAAAACTTTAGAATTCTTTAGACTAGTAGAGATCACTGCTAGAGCAGCGATTTTATCCAATCTGTTGAACACTTTAGAATGCCTTAGAAAATATCTTAGAAAACTTTAGAATTCTTTAGACTAGTAGAGATCACTGCTAGAGCAGCGATTTTATCCAAAAAAAAAATTGCTTTTTTTTCATAAATCGATTTTAAGTCCACTTTTTTTTCCTTACATCGCTGCAGGGGCAGCGTTCTATCTAATAAGTCTTAGGAAGTTTAGTTTGTCGGCAGATATAATTAAAGCTTGATTTATAGAAAACTATGATAAAAATCAATTAAATTAACACTTATGTGGTCCATTGTACTTGATGATGAGTTTACTTCTCCTTTTCCTTGTAATGTGTGGCCCTATCTATTTTTTCTCAAAGCCTAATTGACTCCCTACCTTCAAAGTCATCATTTTGCTTTAAATAACCCCTTTAAGATTTCTCTTCCGTAAGAGAATTCAAGAATTTATATGCAATTGTTGTCCTTTGTCAGAGATTTTTAATAATAAAAAAAAAATTAATAAAATCACTGCCAGAAAAAACTTTTTTTTTATTAAAACGCTGCCATAGCAGCAATTTTAGTTTTTTTTTTTTAAAAACAAATTTGAGAAAAACGCTGCCCTGCAGCGATGTAAGGAAGAAAAGAAATTGGACTTAAAATCGCTGCCATATAGCAGCAATTTTAATGAAAAAAAGGAGAAAAAGTTTTGGACGAAATTGCTGCTAGGGCAGTGATTTTTATTTTTAACAAAATAACGGTGTTAATATTGTGTCAAAGGGAAATCGCTTCGTCAAGAGCGATTTTGCCCTTTTGATTTAAAAAAAAATTAATGTGTTCTTTTAGAATTTTTGATAATTTTTTTTTTATCCTTTTGACTCCGAACTCCTAATATCATATTCAATGTCAAATCTATAACAACAATAATACTATCATTAAAAGACGAGTTTCTTTATCTCCACCCATCTAATATCATTGTCAGTGCAAATCTATAACAACAATAATAATATCATTAAAACGAGTTTCTTTATCTCCACCTTAAAAAGACATTTAGAAAGGTTGTTGTTTATATCCATCCATAACAAAATGACATATTTTTAAAATAACATACGGTTATAGTGACGCTTTGGGAAAAATTATAAACAAATAGTTAAATATTATTGTAGAACAATCGCATCAAAATTGGATTGAAGCAATATTTAGAATTATTGGATGTACATATAATTTTCATTTAATAGTGAATGCCAAGTTCTTTTTATTTTTAAAATCGACCAAAAATGAATTAGTCTTAGGTGTGTTGGGATATATTATATGATGAGGATTTATTTGAAAATGAAGAGTTTTTCCTTTGGAAACTCTGAAAATCAAGTATTTTTTGCTAGAAAACTCTTTATTGAATTATATAAAATATAATAAAAATTTACCTAAATACACTAACTTATTTTACCATATTTCTAAATTTTCGTATTATTTGAAAAAATTACAAAAATTTCTATTCTCTGATACATATTTATGTGATGTGCCTGCCAAATACATCACTTTACGCGATGTATCGATTGGATACATCACTTTACGCGATGTATCGATTGGATACATCACTTTACGCGATGTATCGATTGGATACATCACTTTACGCGATGTATCGATTGGATACATCACTTTACGCGATGTATCGATTGGATACATCACTTTACGCAATGTATCGATCGGATACATCACTTTACACGATGTATCGGGACATAATACATCACTATACTCAATGTATCGGGACATAATACATCACTATATGTGATGTATCGGTCAGATACATCACTATACGTGATGTATCGAAATGTTGATGTATTCGAAATTGAGATGCATGTGTCGGGACGTTTTTGGGATGTATCTGAATTTCACTAAATTTAAGAGATTTTTGTAATTTAGAAAATGATAGAAATAGAATGTAATTAATTCTTAACACTATGAGATTTGTGTAAAATTCTCATTATTAATCGGCCATTCGTTGGGATAAACAACGTCGAATGTGTATAGCTCGTGTGCAAGAGATATTGAAATGGAGACCATTACGAGCGGAAATGACTGGATATACACGTGTCACGTGGTGTGTTTTATTGGTAAAAAAGTTTTGAAAATATATTTTATCGGAAAGAGAACGTTTTATCTAGAATATATACAAATAATTTTAGAATAATTATTTTACTTACATATCAAATACAAAAGAATGAGTAAAATATTTATCTATATTTCTGAAAAATATTTATCATGAAAATCGTTTCCTTCCTACCGAACATACACATCCATAGGCCATAGCCCATATTTAATATATTATAGACTATAGATAAGACATATAAAACAAATTTAGAACGGAAGGGTTTTAATTAATAATTAAGAGTCATCTGCATAAAAGAGAACTGATCTATGTGAAGAAGTTTCATTAGCATCTCTTTTTAGGGAGTTAACAACAAAGGAAGGAGATGCTTCAAAAATATAGAACCGGCATGGTATGAAAAACTTGCAAATAATCCATACGATCCGAAAGGTAAATGGTTTTATTCATATATTGTCCGATACACAAATTGGAAGAGATTAATTTTAGTAGTTGTTACAATTACAACTCCAATTCCTCATATTTGGAGTTTAGTTTTGGTTAATTCTGATGATATCTGATCATTAGAGTTGGGTAATTGTAATTCCAAATCAATTGATTTACTCAACTGATTCATCTTCTCTTTATTTACTTCAATATCCTCTGCATTTGTCTCCATCTTTTTTCCCCACAAAAATCCGTAAAGCCCAGCCACTACTATGATTGACCCTACAACCTCTGATATATTTCAAAAAATGATCAAACAAATGCTAAATGTTTTACAATATTTTTTTTTATAGTAATTAGCTTACAATATGAAAATAAAGTATTTGGCTTTATATGCTTACACTCCAAGGTATAATTTCTCACGAAGCAAAGTCCAACTGAGAAATGCAGAAATAACCAACAACAACGGATTGAACATCGAGACATATAAAGGACCTTTTTTCTCGATGCACCATGAGCTCAGGAAAAATACTAATGATGTACTCACAGCTCCCTGTTATCAACATTAAATAAAACTTATCATGATCATAAACAAATTACTCCATATGATACTTGCTAGTCTTCCTTTAATTAATCAAAGAAAAAGTGAAATTCGTAACTTGTAATTGAATAGGATAAGTTATCCTAAATTATACTTTTTCTGTCCCAATTTATGTGGATTTTTTATTTTTCAAGATTCAAACAATTTAAGTTTGACGTGCATGAAATCTTAAAAATATTTGTAAACTACGTAAAAGTAGTATAAGTCACAATAATTGACAATTAAAAAGATAAATGCAAAATTTACTGTCAAGGATATAACTTGTTTGAATATCGAAATCTAAAAGATACCACATAAATTGGGACAGATGGAGTACTATATATATAAAAATTCGTTATATAAGTAAGTTATTAAATAGATACGCAAAGCTAGAGTCGTACATTATAGACCACAGAGATAGCTCTAATGGGGTTTAAAGCCCATTCAGAAAGTTTAGGGACGATGCAAAAGCCAATAATGACACTCTCCACACTTGCCATTAAGCACATCAAAGTTATGCATGTATATGGAGCTGCATACTTCTCATTTACCTTTGTCTAATTTAACCAACAAAAAGATTTGTTAGCTTTTCAAAAAATTAGAGCTGTGTGTGGATGGTGTAGTAGTAGTATATATTACCTGAATGATTAACCAAATGGCATAAGTAAGACTGCACACTATAAGTAAAAAAGGTCCTAAAAAGAAGTTGGAATTGACATCTTTGCCTGTATTTTCTGCAAATTTCCAATGAAATCCTAACTGACCAATAACAACTTTTCCATGATATAATGACAATAACATTGCACCTCCAACACATACTATTGTACCCCAAAACTTAGCTTGTCCTGCTATACTTCTTAATCCCAATTTTTCAATCCTGCACCCACAAAATTAAAATTAAAATTTTTTCTTTTACTTTTGAATATTTGTAGAGAAAATACAATTAATTACCCCAAGGGTACGGCTATGATAAATGTGAAAGCTGGGATTAGATTATCAATGGCAGAAGCAATCGTTGGAGTTGAATTCGTTAAGCCGATGAACCATGCATATTGGTTCGCTGTTATCCTGTCATTAAAAAAAAGAGTGAAATTTCGAGTGTACAACAACTACGGGGGGTTTCTTGAGACTAAAGTTTCATTAAACAGTTTTTTCACGGTAGAACCTCGCTCAAATAATTCGTTTCTCACTTTTCCATTGTGTAACTCACATTTATTACTATTTCAAATAGAAAAGAAAATTCTTACCCGAAAATAGAACACAAAAATATCTGGAAAAGAACAGAGACTGTCAACTTGGATTCATTTTTCCTGTCAAAAAACAAGATGCATGAGTAAATAATTAGAAAAAGCTGATTCAAGAGACAATTCTGATAAAATATTAATTGCAGGGACAAAACCCATCAATTAATTTGCCAAGAAAACAAAATTCATCCTTAATTCGTTAGTTAACTTCCACCTGATTTTTTATTTTTAAAAAAAAATGTGTCTCAACTCTCTCTCTCACCCTATTGGTTTTGGGATCTTGATAAATATGGACTTATTAAAAAGAGAAATGTGCATTAGTGTGAATATTGCTGTTTTGAACATGCATGAGATACCTCTCGAAGTAGAAAGCAAATGGAGCAATGGAGATAGTTGCAAAAATAGGCCTATAAGCTGACTGAACAAAAGGATTCATGCCACCATCCATCACTAACTTTGATATTATTATCATTCCAGCAAACCCTAATTGCACAATCACCATTACCACAAAAGCCAACAATTCACTCCCCATTTTCTACCTTCTTGATCGATCGATCGATCGCCCAAATTAAACACTACTTCCAATAGTTTAATGGGTGCACAAGCTCTACGAAGTCAGAATCAAATTCTTCCTTCAAGGCCAAGGGAGGAGAATGATGCTGATTTGTGTACGATAAATAGGCGTAAGGAACTATATATTTATAGGAGGGTGAACTAGCTAATTAGTATTACAAATATATTAAGGAAATATTCCCTATCTGGTTCACTTTGATAATTACTTGTAGTTCTTATTAAAAATAATTGTCATTTTTGAATGGATCGAAGGGAGTATTCGAAGGAGAATAAATGTTACTACTATTTTCGGAGCGACCACATTTATACACGTGTATATAATTTTATAATATAACAACTGGATGGTGTACATTTGTCATCATAAAAAGTTGGGAAAAGGGCTTAATATACCCTTTAACTTTGCCATTTAGAGTTGATATACCCTAGTTATGAAAGTGGCTCATATATACCCTTATCGTTATACAAATGGCTCACATATATCCTTACTGTTACAAAAAGAGCTCACATATATCCTTCATCTTATGGAAGTGACTTTAGATTTTTTTAAAAATTATATAGGGGTATATATATGATCCTTATAGCAAAGTTCAAGGAATATTTTTATCTTTTTCATACGATAATTATCTTTCGACTTCTTTGATTATCATTATTCGAGTTTTTTTTTCTTTTATTCTATAGAGTAAAGAAAAATTTTAAAATCATTTTTTTGCGGCTATATTGTAATTTAGTTTTTGTATTTGTAAAAATAAAAAAAAGTGGGGCATCTATAATAAAATTTACAAGAAATTAGTGAAACATAAATAAATTTGACCATCAAAATAATAAATTTAAATTAGTCATTGAAACAAAAAAGTCAAAAAAAAAATACGTGTGAGGAGGATCAAATATAACCCCATGGATTATATTTTTTTTGAAAAGATAATTCAAAAAATTAATTTAAATTAATTTTTTTCACTTTCATTAGAGAAAAAGGTTATATATGTGAGCCATTTGTATTCTAATAGGATATATACAAGCCACTTTCGTAACAAGAGTATATTAGCTCTAGATGACAAAGTTAAAGATATATCAAACCCTTTTCCCTAAAAAGTTTGATAAGCCTTGGTTTAATAAGTTAACTCCCATAAGAAAACAGGACTTTCATTTATATGTGTAATTTTTCCAATATTTTAATGTTTAATCTTCTAATTTATATAGACAAAATAATAAGTAAAGAAACTTTTATATATATATATTTTATTTTATTTTTTTATTGATTGGGCCCAATAAAGATGCATCAGAGGGTTGATTAGGCGTCGCTTATGCGACTATCCCCCACCACATCGGATAAGAAAGAGATGGGTACTGATCTTCTAATTATATGATCTTTCTAATTGTGAGCTAGCTTTCGAAAATGAGTTTGACTCAAGATTTAATTTATTACAATTATTATCAATATTTACTCTATGATTCGAACTAATTATCTTAAGATTAAAAATTAGGATATTTGCCATTAGAACAACTCTCTATTGTCAATATTTACTCTATTAAAGGTGCATGAAAGCTGAAAAAAGAAATTAACATGAACCTAAATTAAATGATACGCATGGCACCTTTTAATTGGGTTTGTCCAATTAAACTATTCTTAATCTTTTTTTTTGTTAATATATAGTAATTATATCTCAAACAAGTAACTAGGTACAAGTTGTGATAATTAAGACAGTGAATTTTTGTGGGGGCCTTCCCCCCTTTTTTTTTTGTTCGATTCCTTTTTTTCTTCACCGCTTCTTGGCTTCTCCTAAGTAATAATAACTTTTACATTTGCTATGGCATCTTTGAAATTTTGAATATGATTTTACACCGTATATTATTTGTCTGAGGGCTTTTACCAATACTTCAAACAACAATATTAAGGAATGAATAAGTCGTTCGTAAAGTTCACATGTGGAAATAGTTTTTTTTCGGATTGAATAAGTTTAAAGAGGAATTTATGTATGTTTCCTGTTTTAATTAAAGTTATTATGAAATGACCTATTCAATTTAATTTACTCTTTAACTAGTTTTGGCGTAAAAGCGTAAAATAAAATTTTATCTGTTGAAATATACAAGTTTATATTATATTATATGTTGCATTTAGTTTTTTACCCATAAATTACATGCTATGTATATTTATGATTGTCTCGATGTGTCAATTGGTTAATTATTATAATGATAATTGTGGTCATGATGAATTGGTTATGATAAACAAGTCTTTTTGTTCATGTTAACAATTAACATAATTGATGAATAAGATTGTTAGGATTAGATACTTCAGATCGTGATTATAATGTAAATTTTAACTTCATTAATCATTAAGATTAAATATATATAAGAAACTTTTTAATTGAAAAACATGTTTGTTGGAGGTGGGATTCAAATGGATTATTGTTAGACTTTCAACGATTAAATATATGTATATACAATAATTGTATAGTTTTCCACTTTTCTCTATCGTAAAAGAAATGACTTAAATAAAAAATTGTTTTAGGCATAGTCAAATTGGTTAATTAAGCCACCTTTACAAGCTAAAGTATGACTTTTATATGTACCAGACACAGGTGCCCGTGCGGCCGTGCTAGCACGGGTTCAATATCTATTATCTTTTTTTATTTTAATTTATGTGATATAGATAGAATTTAGAAAATTGATTAAATTTTAATATAATTTTTAAATATTTTAAGTCGTTAATTACTTTTTGTTTGCTCAAATTTAATGTGAAGAGGTCTATTTAGATGTCCAGAATTAAAGTATTTTTTTGTGTTGATTTTTTACTCAAAGTAGTTACAACATATAAACAAATATTATTGACATTCAAAATAATAAAGTTATAACTAAAGAATATGAATTTAAAAGTAAAAGTCATAGCTAAAACGAATTTCAAATTTCGAAAAACTTATACACTAATTAAATTAAAGTAGAACAAAAGAAATATTTTTTTAATTTTTTCCCCCAAAACACAGCACGTCGAAAAAATACACTAATTTTAAATTAAAAAAATTATGTGCAATTATTAGTAAAGGGTGTAGACCCTAAATCATATAGTATCGGTTTATTTTGTGATACATATGATTTGAAAAGGACTGAACTGCGAATGACAGGAAAGAGAACTAAAAGATGACTTCAATTATTGAATTAAAAAAGACCATTGTAATAATAGAATATCAAATAATTGATCAATTCTTTGAGTGGAATTTGAATCTCAAAACGGGAAAACGTCCGGTCACACACACAAAAAAGCATAAATAAATTAACTTTTGGCAAGCTATTTTTTGTGAAAGAGATTTAACAATATGGGTCATTTTAGCATTCTGCTAAAAAATATCCTCTTTTAAAACATGACACCAAAAAAATTATTGCCTTTTTTTTTTATGTAGCGTGTCTATTATCATACCCAAAGTTGATTTGAAGTTTATGATGAATTCGAGATTCTAGTTCTTTTAAGTTACTAAAATTTTATATTAGTAATTTATATTCAATGAATTTAGTAAAATAAATATAAATTTGAAATTTAAGTAATTGAATCATGTTGAATGTGTAATCAACACAATGCTCTTACTTCTTATCGTGCATAAAGTAAAGTTTTAAAACGTTATATCCTCTGTTCCTAAATTTAATGCCATTTTTATGCACTAGTAGAGGTATAATTATTTTTAACGGTCATGCCATTGAACAATTTTTCTGGGCTCGTGTATACGGGCGCCAGGCCGGCCATGCAGTAGTTCGATGCATGGCGATATTCGAGATTAGCAAGCTATTGTAAGGGACTCTTCGATGCATGACATATAAAATTATTAAAATTACAATTAATAATAAGACTGAAGTCATAATTCGATACTAAAGAATCTTAAAGATTGAATTCATAAATCTAATCACATAGACTGATGTTAGAATACTTTTTTAACATGGATTGTTAGAATAAAACCATTGAAGCAAGCATTTCGAGGTAATGAATTAATCTTTCAAAAGGAAGGACAAAAATCCCTAGTGAAATTCCTTCTTTTGTTTTGTTTTCTATTTCTTTACTTTTCCACTGGAGAGTGGTGCTTTCATTTTGAATAAGAGGACACGACCAATTCTCCAATCTTTTGTTAAAAAAAAAGACTCAAGTATAATTAATCAACTACAAATTAATAAATCTCCAATTGTCTATAAATACGTTCCTCAAACAATCGATTCTCGCAGATTATATTCTTCCCCTACTAACGATTCGGGCGGACAATCTACAAAACTTTTCCACTTTCTTTGACTAAATATTAATTGATTACAAATATATCCAATGAAATTCATGTTGGGTATTATTTGCCCCGAGTTTCTTACCATAAATAGGCTTTCCTTTTAGGAAAAAGTTTAGGATTGGCTAGTCTTTTTCTCGTAAGAAAATGTTTAGAACTCTATAAATAGATGCTTCTTCCTTCTAACTTAATCAACATTTACAACGTAGTCTTAGGTTTTGAGAGAAAATTTGTGAACCTCCTTGTATTCCGAGTAAATTGGTTAAGGTTTTTTTTCTCTATATTTTTTACTCCATATTCTAGTGGATTGCTCATCTCCTTCTTAAAGAATCTTAAAGATTGAATTCATAAATCTAATCACATAGACTGATGTTAGAATATTTTTTTAACATGAATTGTTAGAATAAAACCATTGAAGCAAGCATTTCGAGGTAATGAATTAATCCTTCAAAAGGAAGGACAGAAATCCCTAGTGGAATTCCTTCTTTTGTTTTGTTTTCTATTTCTTTACTTTTCCACTGGAGAGTGGTGCTTTCATTTTGAATAAGAGGACAGGACCAATTCTCCAATCTTTTGTAAAAAAAGACTCAAGTATATAGTCACTATAATTAATCAACTACAAATTAATAAATCTCCAATTGTCTATAAATACATTCGTCAAACAATCGATTCTCGCAGATTATATTCTTCCCCTACTAACGATTCGGGCGGAACTTTTCCACTTTCTTTCACTAATATTAATTGATTACAAATATATTCAATGAAATTCATGTTGGGTATTATTTGCCCCGAGTTCTTATCATAAATAGGCTTTCCTTTTAGGAAAAAGTTTAGGATTGACTAGTCTTTTTCTCGTAGGAAAATGTTTAGAACTCTATAAATAGATGCTTCTTCTTTCTAACTTAATCAACATTTACAACGTAGTCTTAGGTTTTGAGAGAAAATTTGTGAACCTCCTTGTATTTCGAGTAAATTGGTTGAGGTTATTTCTCTCTATATTTTTTACTCTCATATTCATAG